ACACCTGGTTCTCACACATCTGACTTGCTGCTTTTCCTTTGAATTATTTTAAGCAGGGCCGTTAAATAAGAGAGTTACGACACTCCCATTGACTTCTGTTGGAACATCACGGGGCTGCTGATACTTCCAAACACTGAATAGTTCCCGTTCATTTCAGTGTTTCTGAAGTACACTTCCTGGAAAGTTGATGAAATTACTGCATTTGTTTAGATTTTAAGTCACTAGCTGTCCTCTCATGAATCAGTAGTGGTATTTTATGTCGCAAGCTTTAGTCATGGTTTATCGGAAGATATTAACTGTTAGATTATATAATTGCAGCTAGCTAACGTTAACTTGCGTAACATTAACACTTAACCAGCTAACTTTACCATACCAAGATGTCAGTTTGCCAATATTTACCTCAGATGTAAAGTTATTAGCTAGTTAGCATACATCGTTTATCTTTGGTTATTTGTTGTAACTCCGTACAGCAGCACTTAGTTGCCGCTGTAGTAGTAACATTACCCGTGATTACGATGAATGGTAAGTTAGCTGTCTCCGCTAGATAGTGCGTCGGTGACGGTTGATAAGATCAGTGGCATATGATGACGATGTCATATTTTGGACATCTGTTGGATAGAATACAATGATTTATTTTGCACACACCTCCTCATGGTAATGGCTCCCTGTGACTAATAAAGGTAAAAACTTGATACTGTAGTGATTCAGAATTATGATGAAAGTAGCACATGTACACTGCTGGTGACGTATTGAACTTTAAACTAACAGTCCCTTGTGGGTAAAGGAATGTATGAACAGGCGTTTGTTTCAGGTGAATGATACCTAGATAAAGTAAGCCTCAAGTTCCAGCTGTCAAACAGCTGAGATTTAATTTGCAAGGCCGTCCAAAATCCACTATATGTGTGTGTTGTTTTGTTTGTTTTCAGCAGGATGGATTCTGAGCGGAGAGTGGAGCGATGACCAGGCTGATGGAGCTTGCAGAAATGTCTGTCCACCAACCAGGGCACGCTTCAAGTTCTGAACCAGATGTGGGACATCCGGCATGAAATATAGCCTCCTGTGTGGTCTTGCAGGATGTGAGAATTAAAAAAGTGTTTCTTTGAAGACATCACATTCAAAGAAAACTTACCTATTCTCCCTGGTTTACCAAAACTTCTTTCTTGACTTAAACTAAACAGCTTCTGGCATTCATTGATATTTACTTGTTGTGCATGTGTATGTGAATGTGTCTCCACATAACATGAGAATGTCAGTAATTATGACAATAGAAGCATGAGAAAAAACATCTCCATACTGTAATGTGTGATATCTTATGGGAGCAGCCCCCCCCCCTTCCCTCAAATAGTAAACAAAAATAATGTGATTAAATTTAAAGGGCTTTATTGGCACGAAGGTTTCAAGAACAGTGTTTCCAAAGCATCAAAATACAATTTGTCAATACACACAGTATACAGTAAGTTAAAAATGGACATGTTATGAGTTATAAAACAAAATACAAAGTGAATGGACAGAAGAAAAATCAAAGTTTGGTGGAACTCGTTTTGTAAGGCATTTCATCAGGTCATGAAACAAACAAAACAGGTGCTAATGATCATCCATTCAATATGTAGGTGGAAACAGGATGATTGAGTGAAACAGCTTAACTCAGTTTACAAGGTAAGAGAAGAGAGTCATACTGATACACCGTGGCAAGAGAAAGCACAGCAGCCAGACACAAGGTAGAGCTACTGCATCAGCAAGCTCTCTCCCAGGCAGCAGGCGGTGTGGACTGATCAGTCAGAATGTGTCTGTGTCCTGGTTCATAGTTTAGCCTCTGTCTGGGGAAGGATGAAAGGGTACATTAGCCATACTGAAATGAATCCCCAGTTAACAGTAATGTTATGGATTGTACGTAGTTCACTCAGTAACCATCTCTCTAGTTACATTTCAACAGACCACACTGTGAACGCTGTCTGTCCATCACTCCCAGGATAGAATACACTAACTATAACTGTAGTCAACGTCCTAATCAATGCACATTATGCATTAATATTTACCTAACATTGCTGCAAATTAAGTCGCTGCTGTAAATGTGTAACGTTACGTTATGGGAACAGCCCCTTTTCCTTCCTAAATTAAACACAAAATCTGATTAAATCTGTGTCTCCACCACTCTCCAGAACAAATGTTACAATCAGAATCAGAAGGAGCTTTGTTGCCAAGTAGTGTTTTACACATACGAGGAATTTGCTGTGGTGATGAGGTGCTACAGGCAGACAAACATACAGTCAACATAAAGAAATGTAGAAGTATAGAAATACGGAATGGAAGAACAACGTTGCAGATATATACATGTGCATTATTCTTGGTCTGTGCTTTGCAGAAGTAACGCAACGGAGGAGAATATTTTGTACATATAAATATATAAAGTGACAACAAGGAAATATACAAAACAACAAAGATCAACAATCAACAACAAATACGTGCGACGCGCCGGGTCTGTGCTCCACACGAGATTAAAGAGTATTTACATGTGCAGAGACATTTGTATCATTTGCAAGGGGGGAGACAGTGGGGGACCCAGGTCTTGTTAATGAGGCTTGCTGCAGATAGGAAGAAACTGTTTTTGGTCCTGATGGACCGCAGCCTCCTGCCAGAGGGGAGAGTCTGAAACAGTTTGTGTCCGGGGTGGGAGGAGTCAGCTGCAATCTTTCCTGCTCGCCTCAGAGTCCTCGAGGTGTACAGGTCCAGAAGAGAAGGAAGATTGCAGCCAATCACCTTCTCTGCAGAGCGAATGATGCGCTGCAGCCTGTCCTTGTCCCTGGCAGTGGCAGCAGCGAACCAGATGGTGATGGAGGAGGTGAGGATGGACTCAATGATGGCGGTGTAGAAGTGCACCATCATTGTCTTTGGCAGGCTGAACTTCTTCAGCTGCAGCAGGAAGTACATCCTCTGCTGGGTCTTCTTGGTGAGGGAGGTGATGTTCAGCTCCCACTTGAGGTCCTGGGAGATGATGGTGCCCAGGAAGCGGAAGGAGTCCACAGTGGTGACTGGGGAGTCACACAGGATGATGGGGCTGGGCGCTATCTGAAGTCCACGACTATCTCCACGTTCTTCAGAGCGTTGAGCTCCAGACTGTTCTGGCTGCACCAGGTCACCAGATGGTCGAAAAATGTCTGTGAACACCGGAGACAGCTGATCAGCACAGTGCTTCAGGGTGGATGGGGAGACAGAGTCCGACCCAGCTGCTTTGCGGGGTTTCTGCCTCCTGAAAAGACAGTTGACTTCCCCTTTTGGAGGGGAGGGGGTGGAGCTTGCCAGCTCTGAGGAGGGAGGGGAAGATGTGGTGGACTGAGGCTGAAGCTGAGCGGAGGAGTCACAGGGGATGGTGTCCGATTGACTCTCAAAGCGGCAGTAGAACTGGTTCAGCTCATTTGCCAGGCGAGAATCGTTTATGGAGTGGAGGACTTTAGGTTTATAGTTTGTGATCTGTCTGAACCCCCTCCAGACAGAAGTGGTGTTGTTTGCAGAGAACTGGTTCTTTAGCCTCTCTGAGTACAGTCGTTTAGCTTCTCGCACCTCCCTGCTAAACCTGTACTTTAACGCCCTGTCACCACTCCTAAATGCCTCCTCCTTTTCCAACCTCAGCTGTCTGAGTTTAGCTGTGAACCAGGGTTTGTCATTGTTATAACTCACCATGGTGCGTGGTGGTATACATGTGTCCTCACAGAAGCTGATGTAGGACGTCACAGCCTCTCTAAACTCATCCAGATTGTTGGTAGCCTTCTTGAAAACATCCCGGTCAGTGCAGTCCAAACATGCCTGGAGGTCCTCAACAGCTTCACTAGTCCACTTCTTTGATGTCCTCACTACAGGTTTACAGAGCTTTAGTTTTTTCCTGTAAGCGGGAATCAGATGGACCATCATGTGATCAGAGTGTCCCATTGGAGCGCGTGTGGGGAGCGCTGTGAGGATTAAATTCACGTTTGGTCTGAATGTTAGTCTGATTTCAGACTTTAGACGTTTGTCTGGTTTCAGACTTTAGACGTTTGTCTGGTTTCAGACTTTAGACGTTTGTCTGGTTTCAGACTTTAGTCTGGTTTCAGGCTTTAGACGTTTGTCTGGTTTCAGGCTTTAGACGTTTGTCTGGTTTCAGACTTTAGTCTGGTTTCAGACTTTAGACGTTTGTCTGGTTTCAGACTTTAGACGTTTGTCTGGTTTCAGACTTTAGACGTTTGTCTGGTTTCAGACTTTAGTCTGGTTTCAGACTTTAGACGTTTGTCTGGTTTCAGACTTTAGACGTTTGTCTGGTTTCAGACTTTAGACGTTTGTCTGGTTTCAGGCTTTAGTCTGGTTTCAGACTTTAGACGTTTGTCTGGTTTCAGACTTTAGACGTTTGTCTGGTTTCAGACTTTAGACGTTTGTCTGGTTTCAGGCTTTAGTCTGGTTTCAGACTTTAGTCTGGTTTCAGACTTTAGACGTTTGTCTGGTTTCAGGCTTTAGACGTTTGTCTGGTTTCAGACTTTAGTCTGGTTTCAGACTTTAGACGTTTGTCTGGTTTCAGATTTTAGACGTTTGTCTGGTTTCAGACTTTAGACGTTTGTCTGGTTTCAGGCTTTAGTCTGGTTTCAGGCTTTAGTCTGGTTTCAGACCTTAGTCTGGTTTCAGACTTTAGACGTTTGTCTGGTTTCAGGCTTTAGACGTTTGTCTGGTTTCAGACTTTAGTCTGGTTTCAGACTTTAGACGTTTGTCTGGTTTCAGATTTTAGACGTTTGTCTGGTTTCAGACTTTAGACGTTTGTCTGGTTTCAGGCTTTAGTCTGGTTTCAGGCTTTAGTCTGGTTTCAGACCTTAGTCTGGTTTCAGACTTTAGACGTCTGTCTGGTTTCAGACGTTAGATGTCAGTCTGGTTTCAGACTTTAGATGTTTGTCTGGTTTCAGACTTTAGACGTTAGTCTGGTTTCAGACTTTAGACGTTAGTCTGGGTTCAGACTTTAGACGTTTGTCTGGTTTCAGACTTTAGACGTTTGTCTGGTTTCAGGCTTTAGTCTGGTTTCAGACTTTAGACGTTTGTCTGGTTTCAGACTTTAGACGTTTGTCTGGTTTCAGGCTTTAGTCTGGTTTCAGACTTTAGTCTGGTTTCAGACTTTAGACGTTTGTCTGGTTTCAGGCTTTAGACGTTTGTCTGGTTTCAGACTTTAGTCTGGTTTCAGACTTTAGACGTTTGTCTGGTTTCAGGCTTTAGTCTGGTTTCAGACTTTAGTCTGGTTTCAGACTTTAGACGTTTGTCTGGTTTCAGACTTTAGACGTTTGTCTGGTTTCAGGCTTTAGACGTTTGTCTGGTTTCAGACTTTAGTCTGGTTTCAGACTTTAGACGTTTGTCTGGTTTCAGGCTTTAGTCTGGTTTCAGACTTTAGTCTGGTTTCAGACTTTAGACGTTTGTCTGGTTTCAGACTTTAGTCTGGTTTCAGACTTTAGACGTTTGTCTGGTTTCAGACTTTAGACGTTTGTCTGGTTTCAGACTTTAGACGTTTGTCTGGTTTCAGGCTTTAGTCTGGTTTCAGACTTTAGACGTTTGTCTGGTTTCAGACTTTAGACGTTTGTCTGGTTTCAGACTTTAGACGTTTGTCTGGTTTCAGACTTTAGTCTGGTTTCAGACTTTAGACGTTTGTCTGGTTTCAGACTTTAGTCTGGTTTCAGACTTTAGACGTTTGTCTGGTTTCAGACGTTAGATGTCAGTCTGGTTTCATACTTTAGTCTGGTTTCAGACGTTAGACGTTTTTCTGGTTTCAGACGTTAGATGTCAGTCTGGTTTCAGACTTTAGTCTGGTTTCAGACTTTAGACATTTGTCTGGTTTCAGACGTTAGATGTCAGTCTGGTTTCAGACTTTAGTCTGGTTTCAGACTTTAGACGTTTGTCTGGTTTCAGAATTTAGACGTTTGTCTGGTTTCAGACTTTAGTCTGGTTTCAGACTTTAGACGTTTGTCTGGTTTCAGACTTTAGATGTTTGTCTGGTTTCAGACGTTAGATGTCAGTCTGGTTTCAGACTTTAGTCTGGTTTCAGACGTTCGTCTGGTTTCAGACTTTAGACGTTTGTCTGGTTTCAGACTTTAGTCTGGTTTCAGACTTTAGACGTTTGTCTGGTTTCAGACGTTAGATGTCAGTCTGGTTTCAGACTTTAGTCTGGTTTCAGACTTTAGACGTTTGTCTGGTTTCAGACTTTAGACGTTTGTCTGGTTTCAGACTTTAGTCTGGTTTCAGACTTTAGACGTTTGTCTGGTTTCAGACTTTAGTCTGGTTTCAGACTTTAGACGTTTGTCTGGTTTCAGACTTTAGATGTTTGTCTGGTTTCAGACGTTAGATGTCAGTCTGGTTTCAGACTTTAGTCTGGTTTCAGACGTTCGTCTGGTTTCAGACTTTAGTCTGGTTTCAGACGTTCGTCTGGTTTCAGACGTTAGACGTTTGTCTGGTTTCAGACTTTAGTCTGGTTTCAGACTTTAGACGTTTGTCTGGTTTCAGACTTTAGATGTTTGTCTGGTTTCAGACGTTAGATGTCAGTCTGGTTTCAGACTTTAGTCTGGTTTCAGACGTTCGTCTGGTTTCAGACTTTAGACGTTTGTCTGGTTTCAGACTTTAGACGTTTGTCTGGTTTCAGACTTTAGACGTTTGTCTGGTTTCAGACTTTAGACGTTTGTCTGGTTTCAGACTTTAGTCTGTGTCAAGTTCTGTGTGTTTTTAATTGATTACAGCTCAGCCCAAACTTGAAAACTGCTTTTCTCTCTGAAGAACGCAAAGGACAACTCAATCTTTTCACTTCTTGATTCTTTATTTTCTTTGAGATGGTTTGATAGACCAGTGATGGAATAATATGGTATAGTTTCTTGAATGTGACTTGATAGATCAGTGTGGGGCAGTAGGTATAGGTTGATAACCTTTCAAATACACAAACCAAACCATGAATCAGTCACACATAAATCACAATACCACTTTCTCGCAGAAATAATAAATAAATGCTATTGAATCTTCAAACCAAACTAAACACGATCCTTAAGTCTAACCTAGGATTTTAACAAGAAAATACCAATCCTGTAATTAAACTCATGCACATGTTACTTCTGTCAAGTTCAACATTCACATAACAAATCCCCATTATTTATTTTAAATTGCAAATTACAATCCAAGCAGAACCTGAACATTTAAAACTCAATATATTCAAACACAGTCAATCATAAATTGTCCTACCAGTTGCGTCTTTGAGTGATCAGAAGCTGTAATCATAGTATCCTTTTCCAGGAATAAATGAGAGAACCAACCGAACTCTCTACAGACATTTCAATGCCATGCTCTCTCTGTGGGTGCGCAGGCAAATATAGTCCCAAAAACTACTTCCCCAAAAGTTGGTTCTACCAACCAGACTTTAGACGTTTGTCTGGTTTCAGACTTTAGACGTTTGTCTGGTTTCAGGCTTTAGTCTGGTTTGGATTGAAGATTCAATAGCATTTATTTATTTAAAGTTGGTTCTACCAACTTTTGTTGCATGATTGCCCCCTGCAGTTTGGGAGTGCCCTGAGAGCCCTGGGTGAATCTGGGCTTGGATTGCTCAGTACAACTAAAGCAAAGTAACCATAAATTGACACAACAGTCTGGTTTCAGACTTTAGACATTTGTCTGGTTTCAGACTTTAGACGTTTGTCTGGTTTCAGACTTTAGTCTGGTTTCAGACTTTAGACGTTTGTCTGGTTTCAGACTTTAGTCTGGTTTCAGACTTTAGATGTTTGTCTGGTTTCAGACTTTAGATGTTTGTCTGGTTTCAGACTTTAGATGTTTGTCTGGTTTCAGACTTTAGTCTGGTTTCAGACTTTAGACGTTTGTCTGGTTTCAGGCTTTAGTCTGGTTTCAGACTTTAGACGTTTGTCTGGTTTCAGGCTTTAGTCTGGTTTCAGACGTTTGTCTGGTTTCAGACTTTAGACGTTTGTCTGGTTTCAGGCTTTAGTCTGGTTTCAGACGTTTGTCTGGTTTCAGACTTTAGACGTTTGTCTGGTTTCAGACTTTAGTCTGGTTTCAGACTTTAGACGTTTGTCTGGTTTCAGACTTTACTCTGGTTTCAGACTTTAGACGTTTGTCTGGTTTCAGACTTTAGTCTGGTTTCAGACTTTAGACGTTTGTCTGGTTTCAGACTTTAGATGTTTGTCTGGTTTCAGACGTTAGATGTCAGTCTGGTTTCAGACTTTAGACGTTTGTCTGGTTTCAGACTTTAGTCTGGTTTCAGACTTTAGACGTTTGTCTGGTTTCAGACTTTAGATGTTTGTCTGGTTTCAGACGTTAGATGTCAGTCTGGTTTCAGACTTTAGACGTTTGTCTGGTTTCAGACTTTAGATGTCAGTCTGGTTTCAGACTTTAGTCTGGTTTCAGACTTTAGACGTTTGTCTGGTTTCAGACTTTAGACGTCAGTCTGGTTTCAGACTTTAGTCTGGTTTCAGACTTTAGACGTTTGTCTGGTTTCAGACTTTAGTCTGGTTTCAGACTTTAGACGTTTGTCTGGTTTCAGACTTTAGTCTGGTTTCAGACTTTAGACGTTTGTCTGGTTTCAGACTTTAGTCTGGTTTCAGACTTTAGACGTTTGTCTGGTTTCAGACTTTAGATGTCAGTCTGGTTTCATACTTTAGTCTGGTTTCAGACGTTAGACGTTTTTCTGGTTTCAGACGTTAGATGTCAGTCTGGTTTCAGACTTTAGTCTGGTTTCAGACTTTAGACATTTGTCTGGTTTCAGACGTTAGATGTCAGTCTGGTTTCAGACTTTAGTCTGGTTTCAGACTTTAGACGTTTGTCTGGTTTCAGAATTTAGACGTTTGTCTGGTTTCAGACTTTAGTATGGTTTCAGACTTTAGACGTTTGTCTGGTTTCAGACTTTAGATGTTTGTCTGGTTTCAGACGTTAGATGTCAGTCTGGTTTCAGACTTTAGTCTGGTTTCAGACGTTCGTCTGGTTTCAGACTTTAGTCTGGTTTCAGACGTTCGTCTGGTTTCAGACTTTAGACGTTTGTCTGGTTTCAGACTTTAGTCTGGTTTCAGACTTTAGACGTTTGTCTGGTTTCAGACGTTAGATGTCAGTCTGGTTTCAGACTTTAGTCTGGTTTCAGACTTTAGACGTTTGTCTGGTTTCAGACTTTAGACGTTTGTCTGGTTTCAGACTTTAGTCTGGTTTCAGACTTTAGACGTTTGTCTGGTTTCAGACTTTAGTCTGGTTTCAGACTTTAGACGTTTGTCTGGTTTCAGACTTTAGACGTTTGTCTGGTTTCAGACTTTAGACGTTTGTCTGGTTTCAGACTTTAGACGTTTGTCTGGTTTCAGACTTTAGACGTTCGTCTGGTTTCAGACGTTCGTCTGGTTTCAGACGTTAGACGTTTGTCTGGTTTCAGACGTTAGATGTCAGTCTGGTTTCAGACTTTAGTCTGGTTTCAGACTTTAGACGTTTGTCTGGTTTCAGATTTTAGACGTTTGTCTGGTTTCAGACTTTAAACGTTTGTCTGGTTTCAGGCTTTAGTCTGGTTTCAGGCTTTAGTCTGGTTTCAGACCTTAGTCTGGTTTCAGACTTTAGACGTCTGTCTGGTTTCAGACGTTAGATGTCAGTCTGGTTTCAGACTTTAGATGTTTGTCTGGTTTCAGACTTTAGACGTTAGTCTGGTTTCGGGCTTTAGACGTTAGTCTGGTTTCAGACTTTAGACGTTAGTCTGGGTTCAGACTTTTGTCTGATTTAAGATGTTAGTCTGGTTTCAGACTTTAGATGTTAGTCTGGTTTCAGACTTTAGACGTTTGTCTGGTTTCAGACTTTTGTCTGATTTAAGATGTTAGTCTGGTTTCAGACTTTAGATGTTAGTCCGGTTTCAGACTTTAGACGTTTGTCTGGTTTCAGGCTTTAGTCTGGTTTCAGGCTTTAGTCTGGTTTCAGACCTTAGTCTGGTTTCAGACTTTAGACGTCTGTCTGGTTTCAGACGTTAGATGTCAGTCTGGTTTCAGACTTTAGATGTTTGTCTGGTTTCAGACTTTAGACGTTAGTCTGGTTTCGGGCTTTAGACGTTAGTCTGGTTTCAGACTTTAGACGTTAGTCTGGGTTCAGACTTTTGTCTGATTTAAGATGTTAGTCTGGTTTCAGACTTTAGATGTTAGTCTGGTTTCAGACTTTAGACGTTTGTCTGGTTTCAGACTTTTGTCTGATTTAAGATGTTAGTCTGGTTTCAGACTTTAGATGTTAGTCCGGTTTCAGACTTTAGACGTTAGTCTGGTTTCAGACTTTAGTCTGGTTTAAGACGTTAGTCTGGTTTCAGACTTTAGACGTTAGTCTGGTTTCAGGCTTTAGTCTGGTTTAAGATGTTAGTCTGGTTTCAGGCTTTAGTCTGGTTTAAGACATTAGTCTGGTTTAGACTTAAAACGTTTGTCTGGTTTCAGGCTTTAGTCTGGTTTCAGACGTTAGTCTGGTTTCAGACTTTAGACGTTAGTCTGGGTTCAGACTTTTGTCTGATTTAAGATGTTAGTCTGGGTTCAGACCTTAGTCTGGTTTAAGACTGTAGTCTGGTTTAAGACGTTAGTCTGGTTTCAGACTTTAGACGTTAGTCTGGTTTCAGGCTTTAGTCTGGTTTCAGACGTTAGTCTGGTTTCAGACTTTAGACGTTAGTCTGGTTTCAGGCTTTAGTCTGGTTTAAGACGTTAGTCTGGGTTCAGACCTTAGTCTGGTTTAAGACTGTAGTCTGGTTTAAGACGTTTGTCTGGTTTCAGACTTTACTCTGGTTTCAGACTTTAGACGTTTGTCTGGTTTCAGACTTTAGTCTGGTTTCAGACTTTAGACGTTTGTCTGGTTTCAGACTTTAGATGTTTGTCTGGTTTCAGACGTTAGATGTCAGTCTGGTTTCAGACTTTAGACGTTTGTCTGGTTTCAGACTTTAGTCTGGTTTCAGACTTTAGACGTTTGTCTGGTTTCAGACTTTAGATGTTTGTCTGGTTTCAGACGTTAGATGTCAGTCTGGTTTCAGACTTTAGACGTTTGTCTGGTTTCAGACTTTAGATGTCAGTCTGGTTTCAGACTTTAGTCTGGTTTCAGACTTTAGACGTTTGTCTGGTTTCAGACTTTAGACGTCAGTCTGGTTTCAGACTTTAGTCTGGTTTCAGACTTTAGACGTTTGTCTGGTTTCAGACTTTAGTCTGGTTTCAGACTTTAGACGTTTGTCTGGTTTCAGACTTTAGATGTCAGTCTGGTTTCATACTTTAGTCTGGTTTCAGACGTTAGACGTTTTTCTGGTTTCAGACGTTAGATGTCAGTCTGGTTTCAGACTTTAGTCTGGTTTCAGACTTTAGACATTTGTCTGGTTTCAGACGTTAGATGTCAGTCTGGTTTCAGACTTTAGTCTGGTTTCAGACTTTAGACGTTGTCTGGTTTCAGAATTTAGACGTTTGTCTGGTTTCAGACTTTAGTCTGGTTTCAGACTTTAGACGTTTGTCTGGTTTCAGACTTTAGATGTTTGTCTGGTTTCAGACGTTAGATGTCAGTCTGGTTTCAGACTTTAGTCTGGTTTCAGACGTTCGTCTGGTTTCAGACGTTAGACGTTTGTCTGGTTTCAGACTTTAGTCTGGTTTCAGACTTTAGACGTTTGTCTGGTTTCAGACTTTAGATGTTTGTCTGGTTTCAGACGTTAGATGTCAGTCTGGTTTCAGACTTTAGTCTGGTTTCAGACGTTCGTCTGGTTTCAGACTTTAGACGTTTGTCTGGTTTCAGACTTTAGACGTTTGTCTGGTTTCAGACTTTAGACGTTTGTCTGGTTTCAGACTTTAGTCTGTGTCAAGTTCTGTGTGTTTTTAATTGATTACAGCTCAGCCCAAACTTGAAAACTGCTTTTCTCTCTGAAGAACGCAAAGGACAACTCAATCTTTTCACTTCTTGATTCTTTATTTTCTTTGAGATGGTTTGATAGACCAGTGATGGAATAATATGGTATAGTTTCTTGAATGTGACTTGATAGATCAGTGTGGGGCAGTAGGTATAGGTTGATAACCTTTCAAATACACAAACCAAACCATGAATCAGTCACACATAAATCACAATACCACTTTCTCGCAGAAATAATAAATAAATGCTATTGAATCTTCAAACCAAACTAAACACGATCCTTAAGTCTAACCTAGGATTTTAACAAGAAAATACCAATCCTGTAATTAAACTCATGCACATGTTACTTCTGTCAAGTTCAACATTCACATAACAAATCCCCATTATTTATTTTAAATTGCAAATTACAATCCAAGCAGAACCTGAACATTTAAAACTCAATATATTCAAACACAGTCAATCATAAATTGTCCTACCAGTTGCGTCTTTGAGTGATCAGAAGCTGTAATCATAGTATCCTTTTCCAGGAATAAATGAGAGAACCAACCGAACTCTCTACAGACATTTCAATGCCATGCTCTCTCTGTGGGTGCGCAGGCAAATATAGTCCCAAAAACTACTTCCCCAAAAGTTGGTTCTACCAACCAGACTTTAGACGTTTGTCTGGTTTCAGACTTTAGACGTTTGTCTGGTTTCAGGCTTTAGTCTGGTTTGGATTGAAGATTCAATAGCATTTATTTATTTAAAGTTGGTTCTACCAACTTTTGTTGCATGATTGCCCCTGCAGTTTGGGAGTGCCCTGAGAGCCCTGGGTGAATCTGGGCTTGGATTGCTCAGTACAACTAAAGCAAAGTAACCATAAATTGACACAACAGTCTGGTTTCAGACTTTAGACATTTGTCTGGTTTCAGACTTTAGACGTTTGTCTGGTTTCAGACTTTAGTCTGGTTTCAGACTTTAGACGTTTGTCTGGTTTCAGACTTTAGTCTGGTTTCAGACTTTAGATGTTTGTCTGGTTTCAGACTTTAGATGTTTGTCTGGTTTCAGACTTTAGATGTTTGTCTGGTTTCAGACTTTAGTCTGGTTTCAGACTTTAGACGTTTGTCTGGTTTCAGGCTTTAGTCTGGTTTCAGACTTTAGACGTTTGTCTGGTTTCAGGCTTTAGTCTGGTTTCAGACGTTTGTCTGGTTTCAGACTTTAGACGTTTGTCTGGTTTCAGGCTTTAGTCTGGTTTCAGACGTTTGTCTGGTTTCAGACTTTAGACGTTTGTCTGGTTTCAGACTTTAGTCTGGTTTCAGACTTTAGACGTTTGTCTGGTTTCAGACTTTACTCTGGTTTCAGACTTTAGACGTTTGTCTGGTTTCAGACTTTAGTCTGGTTTCAGACTTTAGACGTTTGTCTGGTTTCAGACTTTAGATGTTTGTCTGGTTTCAGACGTTAGATGTCAGTCTGGTTTCAGACTTTAGACGTTTGTCTGGTTTCAGACTTTAGTCTGGTTTCAGACTTTAGACGTTTGTCTGGTTTCAGACTTTAGATGTTTGTCTGGTTTCAGACGTTAGATGTCAGTCTGGTTTCAGACTTTAGACGTTTGTCTGGTTTCAGACTTTAGATGTCAGTCTGGTTTCAGACTTTAGTCTGGTTTCAGACTTTAGACGTTTGTCTGGTTTCAGACTTTAGACGTCAGTCTGGTTTCAGACTTTAGTCTGGTTTCAGACTTTAGACGTTTGTCTGGTTTCAGACTTTAGTCTGGTTTCAGACTTTAGACGTTTGTCTGGTTTCAGACTTTAGTCTGGTTTCAGACTTTAGACGTTTGTCTGGTTTCAGACTTTAGTCTGGTTTCAGACTTTAGACGTTTGTCTGGTTTCAGACTTTAGATGTCAGTCTGGTTTCATACTTTAGTCTGGTTTCAGACGTTAGACGTTTTTCTGGTTTCAGACGTTAGATGTCAGTCTGGTTTCAGACTTTAGTCTGGTTTCAGACTTTAGACATTTGTCTGGTTTCAGACGTTAGATGTCAGTCTGGTTTCAGACTTTAGTCTGGTTTCAGACTTTAGACGTTTGTCTGGTTTCAGAATTTAGACGTTTGTCTGGTTTCAGACTTTAGTATGGTTTCAGACTTTAGACGTTTGTCTGGTTTCAGACTTTAGATGTTTGTCTGGTTTCAGACGTTAGATGTCAGTCTGGTTTCAGACTTTAGTCTGGTTTCAGACGTTCGTCTGGTTTCAGACTTTAGTCTGGTTTCAGACGTTCGTCTGGTTTCAGACTTTAGACGTTTGTCTGGTTTCAGACTTTAGTCTGGTTTCAGACTTTAGACGTTTGTCTGGTTTCAGACGTTAGATGTCAGTCTGGTTTCAGACTTTAGTCTGGTTTCAGACTTTAGACGTTTGTCTGGTTTCAGACTTTAGACGTTTGTCTGGTTTCAGACTTTAGACGTTTGTCTGGTTTCAGACTTTAGTCTGGTTTCAGACTTTAGACGTTTGTCTGGTTTCAGACTTTAGTCTGGTTTCAGACTTTAGACGTTTGTCTGGTTTCAGACTTTAGATGTTTGTCTGGTTTCAGACGTTAGATGTCAGTCTGGTTTCAGACTTTAGTCTGGTTTCAGACGTTCGTCTGGTTTCAGACTTTAGTCTGGTTTCAGACGTTCGTCTGGTTTCAGACGTTAGACGTTTGTCTGGTTTCAGACTTTAGTCTGGTTTCAGACTTTAGACGTTTGTCTGGTTTCAGACTTTAGATGTTTGTCTGGTTTCAGACGTTAGATGTCAGTCTGGTTTCAGACTTTAGTCTGGTTTCAGACGTTCGTCTGGTTTCAGACTTTAGACGTTTGTCTGGTTTCAGACTTTAGACGTTTGTCTGGTTTCAGACTTTAGACGTTTGTCTGGTTTCAGACTTTAGACGTTTGTCTGGTTTCAGACTTTAGACGTTCGTCTGGTTTCAGACGTTCGTCTGGTTTCAGACGTTAGACGTTTGTCTGGTTTCAGACGTTAGATGTCAGTCTGGTTTCAGACTTTAGTCTGGTTTCAGACTTTAGACGTTTGTCTGGTTTCAGATTTTAGACGTTTGTCTGGTTTCAGACTTTAAACGTTTGTCTGGTTTCAGGCTTTAGTCTGGTTTCAGGCTTTAGTCTGGTTTCAGACCTTAGTCTGGTTTCAGACTTTAGACGTCTGTCTGGTTTCAGACGTTAGATGTCAGTCTGGTTTCAGACTTTAGATGTTTGTCTGGTTTCAGACTTTAGACGTTAGTCTGGTTTCGGGCTTTAGACGTTAGTCTGGTTTCAGACTTTAGACGTTAGTCTGGGTTCAGACTTTTGTCTGATTTAAGATGTTAGTCTGGTTTCAGACTTTAGATGTTAGTCTGGTTTCAGACTTTAGACGTTTGTCTGGTTTCAGACTTTTGTCTGATTTAAGATGTTAGTCTGGTTTCAGACTTTAGATGTTAGTCCGGTTTCAGACTTTAGACGTTAGTCTGGTTTCAGACTTTAGTCTGGTTTAAGACGTTAGTCTGGTTTCAGACTTTAGACGTTAGTCTGGTTTCAGGCTTTAGTCTGGTTTAAGATGTTAGTCTGGTTTCAGGCTTTAGTCTGGTTTAAGACATTAGTCTGGTTTAGACTTAAAACGTTTGTCTGGTTTCAGGCTTTAGTCTGGTTTCAGACGTTAGTCTGGTTTCAGACTTTAGACGTTAGTCTGGGTTCAGACTTTTGTCTGATTTAAGATGTTAGTCTGGGTTCAGACCTTAGTCTGGTTTAAGACGTTAGTCTGGTTTAAGACGTTAGTCTGGTTTCAGACTTTAGACGTTAGTCTGGTTTCAGGCTTTAGTCTGGTTTCAGACGTTAGTCTGGTTTCAGACTTTAGACGTTAGTCTGGTTTCAGGCTTTAGTCTGGTTTAAGACGTTAGTCTGGGTTCAGACCTTAGTCTGGTTTAAGACTGTAGTCTGGTTTAAGACGTTAGTCTGGTTTCAGACTTTAGACGTTAGTCTGGTTTCAAGCTTTAGTCTGGTTTCAGACGTTAGATGTTTGTCTGGTTTCAGACTTTAGACGTTTGTCTGGTTTCAGACTTTAGTCTGGTTTCAGACTTTAGACGTTAGTCTGGTTTCAGGCTTTAGTCTGGTTTCAGACTTTAGTCTGGTTTCAGACTTTAGACGTTTGTCTGGTTTCAGACTTTAGACGTTTGTCTGGTTTCAGACTTTAGACGTTTAGACGTTTGTCTGGTTTCAGACTTTAGACGTTTGTCTGGTTTCAGACTTTAGTCTGGTTTCAGACTTTAGACGTTTGTCTGGTTTCAGGCTTTAGTCTGGTTTCAGACTTTAGTCTGGTTTCAGACTTTAGACGTTTGTCTGGTTTCAGACTTTAGACGTTTAGACGTTTGTCTGGTTTCAGACTTTAGATGTTTGTGTGGTTTAGACTTTAGATGTTTGTCTGGTTTCAGACTTTAGACGTTTGTCTGGTTTCAGACTTTAGTCTGGTTTCAGACTTTAGATGTTTGTCTGGTTTCAGGCTTTAGTCTGGTTTCAGGCTTTAGTCTGGTTTCAGACTTTAGACGTTTGTCTGGTTTCAGACTTTAGATGTTTGTCTGGTTCCAGACTTTAGATGTTTGTCTGGTTTCAGACGTTAGATGTCAGTCTGGTTTCAGACTTTGGTCTGGTTTCAGACTTTAGATGTTAGTCTGGTTTCGGGCTTTAGACGTTAGTCTGGTTTCAGACTTTAGATGTTAGTCTGGTTTCAGGCTTTAGTCTGGTTTAAGACGTTAGTCTGGTTTCAGGCTTTAGTCTGGTTTAAGACGTTAGTCTGGTTTCAAGCTTTAGTCTGATTTCAGACGTTAGATGTTTGTCTGGTTTCAGACTTTAGACGTTTGTCTGGTTTCAGACTTTAGACGTTAGTCTGGTTTCAGGCTTTAGTCTGGTTTCAGACTTTAGTCTGGTTTCAGACTTTAGACGTTTGTCTGGTTTCAGATTTTAGACGTTTGTCTGGTTTCAGACTTTAGACGTTTGTCTGGTTTCAGACTTTAGACGTTTAGACGTTTGTCTGGTTTCAGACTTTAGACGTTTGTCTGGTTTCAGACTTAAGTCTGGTTTCAGACTTTAGACGTTAGTCTGGTTTCAGGCTTTAGTCTGGTTTCAGACTTTAGTCTGGTTTCAGACTTTAGACGTTTGTCTGGTTTCAGACTTTAGACGTTTGTCTGGTTTCAGACTTTAGACGTTTGTCTGGTTTCAGACTTTAGACGTTTAGACGTTTGTCTGGTTTCAGACTTTAGACGTTTAGACGTTTGTCTGGTTTCAGACTTTAGATGTTTGTGTGGTTTAGACTTTAGATGTTTGTCTGGTTTCAGACTTTAGACGTTTGTCTGGTTTCAGACTTTAGTCTGGTTTCAGACTTTAGACGTTTGTCTGGTTTCAGGCTTTAGTCTGGTTTCAGGCTTTAGTCTGGTTTCAGACTTTAGTCTGGTTTCAGACTTTAGACGTTATTCTGGTTTCAGACTTTAGACGTTTGTCTGGTTTCAGACTTTAGATGTTTGTCTGGTTTCAGACTTTAGATGTTTTTCTGGTTTCAGACGTTAGATGTCAGTCTGGTTTCAGACTTTGGTCTGGTTTCAGACTTTAGATGTTAGTCTGGTTTCGGGCTTTAGACGTTAGTCTGGTTTCAGACTTTAGA